ATGTATCTTATGTAGTCGTTAAAGATGTGATTTTGCAGCAAAATATAAAGTTGTAATGGTCTGCTGTGCTTACAACAGTACAAATATCGAAAACCCTATACAGAGCAAAATGAAACATTGTTAACATTGATCTATTTAAAAATAATATTAAGCGGTTAATATTGTATGTCTCTCTCTATCACTTACAAAGCAACAATATCCGTGACATTATCAGTACAGTCACATAATAATATTATTAACATATACTACATAGTACAAGTAACGTACGTCAGCCCCAAAAAAGATAATATTAATTTTTTTTTATAAAATAAAAATAATATTTTATAACCTTGGTTCTATAAAGAAGTTTTTATATTATTGCATAATATTATAATTCAAATTCTAAGTATTTTTTTGAGACCGTACTTAATATTTTTTGACCCACAAGTTTGTCTACCAAATGCAATCATCCCGCCAATTAATGATTCGCGGGCAGTAAAAACCAGCTCCTTGATTTGTTCTAGTGTTTTTTCACGTCGAAAATCCTTTAAAGGATAGTTCTTTAATGGAAACTTTTTATGTCCAATTCTAAATTGCTCAATAACATTTTTTATCATTAGAAAATCTTATTATATCAGAATGGAAGAAAAATAAAAAATAAACTCTTACATGACTTTTTTTTTTGTAAAATTGCAATTATTATATTTTTTGCAACATAAATTTAAACTTTAATAGTTTATAATTTTCGCACAATTTAAAAATTACCGAATTGTTAATTCTAAATAGCATGAGGGACGTCTGTCTCAATGTACAATTTTTACAATTAGTTTTTATTCTATAACATAAAAAAAAAGAAAATTATAACTAAAAGTAGGTACAATCTAAGGTTACTACCTTGTTGGTTAAGATGATAATGCCTTATTCATTTAATTGGCAATTGAAAGTAGGTACTTTGAATATAGTAATTATTGCAATTTACATAGGCTAAAATATGTAACATTACTTTAACTTTTCGTCTAATTTATAATGAATTTTGGTCTCGTAAAAATGGATTCACGTTCATTTAAAAAAGTTCATACTTTTAAATATTTTTAACGACTGAAATATAATTAAGTATAATTTGATTATAAATAAGTCATAAATGTATTTCTCTTCAATAACATGTAATTAAAATATATCCTGTGTTTTTTAATAATAATTTGGTTTGTTATAGAGCATGATTTGTTTTGTAAATATCATCTTGAATAACAAGTAAATAATATATTTTTATTGCTTGTGATATGTGATGTTATAATTTCACAATAATAGTAAACTAATTCCTCTAATATATTTAAAATTCATTTAAAATATACAAATATAATTATTTTATATATTTTATTGTCGATCTATTGAACTGAGTGTTAAAAATCAAAACGAATCTATTGATGATATTTAAGAATATAATTTTGCATCACAATGATAAATGATTTATCATAAGGAAGCCCACAACTTCAAATGATCTTGGCATTTATACAGCAAATATAATAATAAAATGTAAGTACCTATATAATTGTTTGATTTTTTCTTAATGTTGGAAAAAATCCTGTCAGTTGAAATCAATAGCATGAAGTATTGTTTATTAACTCTATCTAATCATTTTGTTATTAGTACCGAACTAAAAGGCAACCAGATAATATTAAAAAAATTAACACAAGTTCACAGAATAATTGAAGTCCTTAATTTTTTCTTGCCATTTTCACATTCAAAAATTCAGATTTTTACATCTAACATTCCCTACAGTTCGAACAATTTTACATTAAATTCATAATGTTATGCCTCTACCTAGAGTGGCTTATACAAATCTTTCGCTTGGATTTCTCTACATATTTCAACACGAAATTATACAATTTATATCAATGGAAATATTTGGGTGACGAATAAAAACTCTACAATTAAAAACCTTAATTTCCATTACAACTTCTTAAGTCTTTAGCATAGCAAAATGTAGAAATTTCACTATTTTCGTTACAATAAAAAGTACCCTTTTCTTGTGCCTATATAAATTTTAAAACTCCATAGAATTTGAACCAATAAAATAATGATACCTTAACATTAATTTCACGACTAGCATTTTCATTTCTATAAATATAATTTTTCGATTCCTCGTAACTTTAATGAACTCCTGGTATCTTTGGCTCAACATTTTTCAGTCAACCTTCGCAAAATGGAAGACTAACGAAAACCTCCATTGAACATTTCGATTACACACAATTATCTAGAACTACACATATTCAAACAACGTGTATACGTACGGGTCTATAGTTATAATGTTACATTTACTGGATATAGTATGTTATGTTAATTGTTACAAAGAATGTAGACACAACCAAATTTTTTAACAGCTATTTTATTTATCTGTTGTAAGTTACTTATCTATTTGCAATTACTTCTAATGGTACACGGTTATCTAAAACCCAATATTGTTAAACATTTAACTGTTATGACCCATTTGACAGTGTCAAATTACGACAGAGTTAAAAATACGGTCATTACATATTTTATGCATAGGATCATGTTTTTATTATTATGTATTTAAAATGTATAACTACAATGACATCGATTTTTCACGTCTACAATTTCAATTTCACCGAAAACTAAATCTATTTTCAATTCTATTACAATCTCGGAGGTATAAGTTCTTTTGAATAATTATATAAAAAATTCTATACGACATACATTTAGGTATGTAATTTAACAGTTATTTACCGTATTTTCTAGTAAAAGTAATAGGCAAAAGAAAATGTTCTTGTATAAATATTTGAATATTTATACACACTTGAAATTATTAATGTTCAACTAAGTATGATAATATTCGTTGCCGACATTAACGTAAGAAAAAATAAATCAATACACCTATAATTTAGAAAAAACGGTCTGAAAGTATAATTCAAGTATTTATACAAGGATGGATGGCAGTCAACCCTGCTTTCCGTGGCATAAAATATAAAAAATGCTATCTAAAGCCCGGTTTTATTTACACCACATTACATTTTGTAACTATTCAGCAGTTTCTTGTTGACATTTAGAAATGACATACTTCATGTATCTATAAAAACAACCGGGCTGTATAAATACTTGAACATCCGTTGTTCTCTCTTTAAATGTGGTTCATTTATTTAAAGTTACTCTTAAATATTATTTAGTTCATTATTTCTAATTTTAGCTGTACTCAGCTAGAGCCCAAGACATTCTGTGAGGTCAATGCACTGTTTTTGCACACGTAGCAAAGTATAAAAATGTGTAAGTAAAAAGTTCGTGATAACATTTTTGCCAAAAAAGTGCCATTATAAAATGCAAAAGCATTAATACATTTTCTTGTGTTTATAGTGCGTGTTAAGCAGAGGTGTATAAAATTCCAATTTAAATAGTTCATTGGAATTTTGGGTAGTAGTTTTTTTTTGGAATTATTACGTATGTTTGTTTTAATTTATTTTGACTTTGTTGCTTTTAATGCATACTGTACATAAAGGTCATTAGGACAGTCATACAAATTGATACCTTTTTCTAATAATCTTTAGAATACATTTAATTTTCAATAGGTGTACGTTTATTCTTTGTTTCGTTGAGTTTTTATTGTTGAATTCTTGCGAAATTTTGTTGATAGAACTATCAAGTATCTACGAGTAGTAAATGAAAGATTAGGTATTAGATAAAGGTTTCAATTTGACAATACTTTTTGTTCTGATCGACATGCAAGGCTAAAAACAAAAGAACGCGCCGAACTTAAGAAGTTGGCGACGCACTATGGAGCGAAATTGAGATTTATGGACATAGCGATTTTTTTCACAATTTCTATTTGAAAAAAATACCTATCGATAGGTTACGTTATTCTGATGAATAAATGCTTCACAAGTTTTTCTCTAAAACCAATAGTTTGACTGGAAAAAAATATTTTCCATTTTCGTTGTATGGAATGAAACATAAAGTGGTCGATTTCGACTAAGCCTTAACAGATTTTGCTTTGAAACTACTTGAGCCTTGTTCTATGGCTTGTTGACTATAATCCTGCAAAAACAGCGCGCGCCCAAAGTTGCCCGTTCAGAAGTTATGAGGTTCCAAAAAATGAAAATTAAAGTAAGTAAAAGTATCTTTTTTTGGGTATAAATCTTTAAAGATTCAACTAAAACATGAAAATTATATACTTTAGTAATGTAATTAACCTTTCTCTTGTCGTCTTATCTAAAGAAAAGTCAATTTTACTTACTTTAATTTTCATTTTTCGGAACCTCATAACTTCTGAACGGGCAACTTTGTGCGCGCGCTGTTAGTCTAGGATTATAGTCAACAAGCCATAGAACAAGGCTCAAGTAGTTTCAAAGCAAAATCTGTCAAGGCTTAGTCGAAATCGACCACTTTATGTTTCATTCCATACAACGAAAATGGAAAATATTTTTTTCCAGCCAAACTATTGGTTTTAGAGAAAAACGTTCATAATATTTATTCATCAGAATAACATACCCTATCGACAGGTATTTTTTTTAAACAGAAATTGTGAAAAAAAAATCGCTGATTTAATTCCTTTTAAGTTTATTAAAATGTGTTTTTAGCAGTAATTTAAGGTTAATTTACATTATTAACGTATAAAATCTTTATGTTTTTGTTAAATCTTAAAAGATATTCCAAAAAAAAGTCACTTTTACTTACTTTTTTTTAATTTTTCAGAACCTCATAACTTGTGAACGGGCAACTTTGGATGCGCGCTGATAGCGTAGGATTACAGTCAACAAGCCATAGAACAAGGCTTAAGTAGTTTCAAAGCAAGATCTGTCAAGGCTTAGTCGAAATCGACCACTTTATGTTTCATTCCATACAACGAAAATGGAAAATATTTTTTTCCAGTCAAACTATTGGTTTTAGAGAAAAACTTGTGAAGCATTTATTCATCAGAATAACGTAACCTATCGATAGGTATTTTTTTCAAATAGAAATTGTGAAAAAAATCGCTATGTCCATAAATCTCAATTTCGCTCCATAGTGCGACGAGTTCAACGAAAACAAAAACACATCAAAAATCACATGTACGTATACACTGCCACCAAGCGTTATAAATAACGTTAACCGTTACCGTTGCGGTAGAGCATTAACACTTCAACTAGATAAGAGTTTCTTTCCCTCCGTACTTGTACAGGTCCTCCTGGAGGGGAGGTCGGGGCGCGGGAGGGGCTCTCTTGGGCCTTTTCTCTGCATACTAGTTTTTCGACGTCAGTATTGTTACGAACTCTGAAAAAAGAAAAATAGCTTGTTTTAATTAAAAAAAAGATTCTGATGTATAAATAAAAAAGATGAAAAAGAAACAAAAAAATAGAAAAGAAAGAAAAGACACTACTTCCTCCACTTTACCCTTCTAAAAGTATGGAGCTACTTTTTCCTGCTTCATCATCTTGCTTTGAATTGCCAAGCTCTGTCTTAGTCAAGACGCTGGGCCCCTCAAAAGTCGCCAAATTTGCTTGTTCACTCTTGAAAATAGGCCACCTCAGATGATTTGAAGATTGGCTGGTTGGAAGCGGCCTACATTAAACTACACTACATACCTTTCTGCAAGCTTTAGGTTCTATGCTGCGCTTACATTGCCTCTATTCCAGAAACTTCCAATCTTCATACCAAAAGAAAAATTTTAAGTATCTCATTGTTACTATCGAAGTTACCGATTTCTTGCAACCTTTTTAAGGTCACCTTGTGGGTGGAATCCCACGCTGCGTTTGCCGCACATTGTCCCCATTCCAGAACCTTCCTATCCTGCAAAAGTGTCTCATATAAGATCATGTTTACCGTTTAGGTCGGCCTCGCGGATCATGTCGTCCACCTCCTCCTCGCTCAGCCGCTCGCCCAGGTTGGTCATCACGTGCCGCAGCTCCACCGAGGAGATCAGACCGTCATTGTTATAGTCTGAAGTCACATTACATTTTACATTACATTTGCCGCTGCGTCACCTCGTTCTAGAACCTTCTAATCTTCATAGACCGTCATTGTTACGAGGCTATAGTCTGCATCATGTCAGAACAAATTACCGTCGTAGTGCAAATATCGTTGCTCCATCATACTTGAAGGTGTGACGTGATGTGTCAAGTTTTGCTAAGATACGAGACACTCTAGCACTCGCCAACCCTGTCTGTCATAAGCAATAAATGCAATCGACAAATACAATACCTTGCAACTCAGACTCTGAGCAAATTGTTCCCAAAATCTCAACTCCTAAGTTGTTTCATCTTGCTTGGAATCGTCAAGGTCTGCGTTCACCAAGACAAGGGGCACATAAGATATCCCAAAGACCAAAGATCTCCCACATCTAGCGCCTTCCTGCAACTTTTATAAGGTCACCTGGTGGCTGGATGTCCCACGCTGCATTTAGCCAGTATATTGCCTCAATTCTAGAACCTTCCAATCTACGTAATATAGTTACCGTCGTAGTTGACCATGCCGTCGCCGTCGAGGTCGGCCTCGCGGATCATGTCGTCCACCTCCTCCTCGCTCAGCCGCTCGCGCAGGTTGGTCATCACGTGCCGCAGCTCCACCGACGAGATCAGACCGTCATTGTTACGAGGCTATAGTCTGCATCATGTTAAAACAAGTCCCCACACAATTTGTTCCCAATTGCTTTTGTTGCTGCTCCTTCTATCTTGGAACTGCTAATCTCTGCAGCCGAAAGACGTGATTTACTCAAGACTCGCCAACCCATCCTATCATTGGTTCTAAAAAAGTATTTTTTAATACTGACCCTGCTATGAGTTTACCCTTGACCTTCCGTGTTGTTTGAGTTAACGTTGATGTTGCTTCTTTAGGATGTCCACAGCAGAATTTCCAGGTATTTCGGTTGGAAGCAGACCGTATTCAGCGCTTTCCTGCAGCTTTTATTAGGTCACCTTGTGGCTGAATGTTCCACGACCACGCTACGTTTGCCGCTGCGTCACCTCGTTCTAGAACCTTCTAATCTTCATGTCTATAGCAAAAGTATCTTATAGTTACCGTCGTAGTTGACCATGCCGTCGCCGTCGAGGTCGGCCTCGCGGATCATGTCGTCCACCTCCTCCTCGCTCAGCCGCTCGCCCAGGTTGGTCATCACGTGCCGCAGCTCCACCGACGAGATCAGACCGTCATTGTTACGAGGCTGTAGTCTGCATCATGTCACAACAAGTTACCGTCGTAGTGCAAATATCGTTGCTCCATCATACTTGACGATGATGCATCAAGTTTCGCCAAGATACAAGACTCGCCAACCCTGTCTATCATAAGATTTAAAGCAAATGCAATCGACAAATACATACTCTGAAACTAAAGTCCCTGAGCAAATTGTTCCCAAAATCTCAACTCCTAAGTTGCTTCATCTTGCTTGGAAGCGTCACGCTCTGCGTTCACCAAGACACGGGCCACTTAAGATATCCCAAAGACCAAAGATCTCCCCCAATGATTGCCAGACTGACCGGTTGGGAATGGGAAATTCCACGCTGCGTTTGCCTCCATTCTACAACCTTTCAATCTACGTAATATAGTTACCGTCGTAGTTGACCATGCCGTCGCCGTCGAGGTCGGCCTCGCGGATCATGTCGTCCACCTCCTCCTCGCTCAGCCGCTCGCCCAGGTTGGTCACCACGTGCCGCAGCTCCACCGAGGAGATCAGACCGTCATTGTTACGAGGCTGTAGTCTACATTATGCTAGAACAAGTTACCGTCGTAGTGCAAATATCGTTGATCCATCATACTTGATGGTGATGTGTCAAGTTTTGCTAAGATACGAGACACTCTAGCACTCGCCAACCCTGTCTGTCATAAGCAATAAATGCAATCGACAAATACAATACCTTGCAACTCAGACTCTGAGCAAATTGTTCCCAAAATCTCAACTCCTTCTAATTTACTTCATCTTGCTTGAAAGCGTCAAGCTCTGCGTTCACCAAGACACGGGCCACTTAAGATATCCCAAAGACCAAAGATCTCTCCCAGTAATTGCCAGACTGACCGGTTGGGAATGGGCCGCATCTAGCGCCTTCCTGCAACCTTTATAAGGTCACCTGGTGGCTGGATGTTCCACGCTGCGTTTGCCTCCATTCCAGAACCTTCAAATCTACATAATATAGTTACCGTCGTAGTTGACCATGCCGTCGCCGTCGAGGTCGGCCTCGCGGATCATGTCGTCCACCTCCTCCTCGCTCAGCCGCTCGCGCAGGTTGGTCATCACGTGCCGCAGCTCCACCGACGAGATCAGACCGTCATTGTTACGAGGCTGTAGTCTGCATCATGTCACAACAAGTTACCGTCGTAGTGCAAATATCGTTGATCCATCATACTTGATGGTGATGTATCAAGTTTTTCGAAGATACGAGACAGTCTAGCACTCGTCAACCCTGTCTGTCATAAGCAATTAATGCAATTGACAAAATAATACAATACCTTGCAACTCAAGACTCTGAGCAAATTGTTCCCAAAATTACAACTCCTTCTAATTTACTTCATCTTGCTTGGAAGCGTCAAGCTCTGCGTTCACCAAGACACGGGCCACTTAACATATCCCAAAGACCAAAGATCTCCCACATCTAGCGCCTTCCTGCAACCTTTATAAGGTTACCTGGTGGCTGGATGTCCCACGCTGCATTTAGCCAGTGCATTGCCTCCATTCTAGAACCTTTCAATCTACGTAATGTATGTATATTTACCGTCGTAGTTGACCATGCCGTCGCCGTCGAGGTCGGCCTCGCGGATCATGTCGTCCACCTCCTCCTCGCTCAGCCGCTCGCCCAGGTTGGTCATCACGTGCCGCAGCTCCACCGACGAGATCAGACCGTCATTGTTATAGTCTGCATCATGTTAGAACAAGTCCCCACACAATTTGTTTCCAATTGTTTTTGTTGTTGCTCCTTCTAGCTTGGAACTGCTAATCTCTGCAGCCGAAAGACGTGATTTACGCAAGACTCGCCAACCTCTCCTGTCATTGGTTCTAAAAAAGTATTTTTTAATATTGACCCTGCTATGATCTTACCCTTGACCTTCCGTGTTGTTTGAGTTAACGTTGATGTTGCTTCGTTAGGATGTCCACAGTAGGATTTTCAAGTATTTCGGTTGGAAGCGGACCGCAATCACCGCTTTCCTGTAGCTTTTATTAACCTTTATTAGGTCAGCTTGTAGCTGAATGTTCCACGCTACATTGCCGGTGCGTCTCCTCGTTCTAGAACCTTCTAATCTTTATATCTATAGCAAAAGTATCATAGTTACCGTCGTAGTTGACCATGCCGTCGCCGTCGAGGTCGGCCTCGCGGATCATGTCGTCCACCTCCTCCTCGCTCAGCCGCTCGCCCAGGTTGGTCATCACATGCCGCAGCTCCGCCGAGGAGATCAGACCGTCATTGTTACGAGGCTATAGTCTGCATCATGTCAGAACAATTACCGTCGTAGTGCAAATATCGTTGCTCCATCATACTTGATGGTGATGTGTCAAGTTTTGCTAAGATACGAGACACTCTAGCACTCGCCAACCCTGTCTGTCATAAGCAATTAATGCAATCGACAAATACAATACCTTGCAACTCAAGTCCCTGAGCAGTTTGTTCCCAAAATCTCAACTCCTAAGTTGTTTCATCTTGCTTGGAATCGTCAAGGTCTGCGTTCACCAAGACGCGGGCCACAAGATATCCCAACCTTTTACGTCTTACAGGACGTCTACTGCTAACCAAAGATACTCCCGCATGCAGTGCCCTAACTTGCAACTCGCTGCGTTTGCCGGTACGTTGCCTTAATTCCAGAACCTTCCAATCTACGTAATATAGTTACCGTCGTAGTTGACCATGCCGTCGCCGTCGAGGTCGGCCTCGCGGATCATGTCGTCCACCTCCTCCTCGCTCAGCCGCTCGCCCAGGTTGGTCATCACGTGCCGCAGCTCCACCGAGGAGATCAGACCGTCATTGCTACGAGTCTGCATCATGTTAAAACAAGTCCCCATACAATTTGTTCCCAATTGCTTTTGTTGCTGCTCCTTCTATCTTGGAACTGCTAATCTCTTCAGCCGAAAGACGTAATTTACACAAGATTCGCCAACCCCTCCTGTCATTGATTTTAAAAAACGTCTTTTTAATGCTGACCTTGCTATCATCTTACCCTTCCTTGACGTCTTCTGGACGTCTACTGCTGAATTTCCAGGTATTTCGGATGGAAACGGACCGCAATCAGCGCTTTCCTGTAGCTTTTATTAACCTTTATTAGGTCAGCTTGTAGCTGGATGTTCCACGCTACATCTGCCGCTGCGTCACCTCGTTCTAGAACCTTCTAATCTTCATATATATAGCAAAAGTATCTTATAGTTACCGTCGTAATTGACCATGCCGTCGCCGTCGAGGTCGGCTTCGCGGATCATGTCGTCCACCTAATGACTTCCAGATTACCCGGTTGGAAGTGGCCCGCATCTAGTGCCTTCTGGTAACCTTTATGAAGTTACCTGGCTTCAACTTATTTGGAAGTCTGACGCTGCGATTGCTGGCACGTCGCCTCCATTCCAGAACCATCCAATCTTTGCATCTAAAGGTGTATCATGCTATAGTTACCGTCGTAGTTGACCATGCCGTCGCCGTCGAGGTCGGCCTCGCGGATCATGTCGTCCACCTCCTCCTCGCTCAGCCGCTCGCCCAGGTTGGTCATCACGTGCCGCAGCTCCGCCGAGGAGATCAGACCATCATTGTTATAGTCTGCATATGTTAGAACAAGTCGCCATACAATTTGTTCCCAATTGCTTTTGTTGTTGCTCCTTCTAGCTTGGAACTGCTAATCTCTGCAGCCGAAAGACGTGATTTACTCAAGACTCGCCAACCCATCCTGTCATTGGTTCTAAAAAAGTATTTTTAATACTGACCCTGCTATGATCTTACCCTTGACCTTCCGTGTTGTTTGAGTTAACGTTGATGTTGCTTCTTTAGGATGTCCACTGCTGAATTTCCAGGTATTTCGAATGGAAACGGACCGCAATCACCGCTTTCCTGTAGCTTTTATTAACCTTTATTAGGTCAGCTTGTAGCTGAATGTTCCACGCTACATCTGCCGCTGCGTCACCTCGTTCTAGAACCTTCTAATCTTCATATCTATAGCAAAAGTATCTTATAGTTACCGTCGTAGTTGACCATGCCGTCGCCGTCGAGGTCGGCCTCGCGGATCATGTCGTCCACCTCCTCCTCGCTCAGCCGCTCGCGCAGGTTGGTCATCACGTGCCGCAGCTCCACCGAGGAGATCAGACCGTCATTGTTACGAGGCTATAGTCTGCATCATGTCAGAACAAATTACCGTCGTAGTGCAAATATCGTTGCTCCATAATACTTGATGGTGTGACGTGATGTGTCAAGTTTTGCTAAGATACGAGACACTCTAGCACTCGCCAACCCTGTCTGTCATAAGCAATTAATGCAATCGACAAATACAATACCTTGCAACTCGAGACTCTGGGAAAATTGTTCCCAAAATCTCAACTCCTTCTAATTTACTTCATCTTGCTTGGAAGCGTCAAGCTCTGCGTTCACCAAGACAAGGGTCACATAAGATATCCCAAAGACCAAAGATCTCCTACATCTAGCGCCTTCCTGTAACCTTTATAAGGTCACCTGGTGGCTGGATTCCCTCGCTGCGTTTGCCGGTACGTTGCCTTAATTCCAGAACCTTCCAATCTACGTAATATAGTTACCGTCGTAGTTGACCATGCCGTCGCCGTCGAGGTCGGCCTCGCGGATCATATCGTCCACCTCCTCCTCGCTCAGCCGCTCGCCCAGGTTGGTCATCACGTGCCGCAGCTCCACCGACGAGATCAGACCGTCATTGTTACGAGGCTATAGTCTGCATCATGTCAGAACAATTACCGTCGTAGTGCAAATATCGTTGATCCATCATACTTGATGGTGATGTGTCAAGTTTTGCTAAGATACGAGACACTCTAGCACTCGCCAACCCTGTCTGTCATAAGCAATAAATGCAATCGACAAATACAATACCTTGCAACTCAGACTCTGAGCAAATTGTTCCCGAAATCTCAACTCCTTCTAATTTACTTCATCTTGCTTGAAAGCGTCAAGCTCTGCGTTCACCAAGACACGGGCCACTTAAGATATCCCAAAGACCAAAGATCTCTCCCAGTAATTGCCAGACTGACCGGTTGGGAATGGGCCGCATCTAGCGCCTTCCTGCAACCTTTATAAGGTCACCTGGTGGCTGGATGTTCCACGCTGCGTTTGCCTCCATTCCAGAACCTTCAAATCTACATAATATAGTTACCGTCGTAGTTGACCATGCCGTCGCCGTCGAGGTCGGCCTCGCGGATCATGTCGTCCACCTCCTCCTCGCTCAGCCGCTCGCCCAGGTTGGTCATCACGTGCCGCAGCTCCACCGACGAGATCAGACCGTCATTGTTACGAGTCTGCATCATGTTAAAACAAGTCCCCATACAATTTGTTCCCAATTGCTTTTGTTGTTGCTCCTTCTAGCTTGGAACTGCTAATCTCTGCAGCCGAAAGACGTGATTTACGCAAGACTCGCCAACCTCTCCTGTCATTGGTTCTAAAAAAGTATTTTTTAATACTGACTGACCCTGCTATGATCTTACCCTTGACCTTCCGTGTTGTTTGAGTTAACGTTGATGTTGCTTCGTTAGGATGTCCACAGTAGGATTTTCAGGTATTTCGGTTGGAAGCAGACCGTATTCAGCGCTTTCCTGCAGCTTTTATTAGGTCACCTTGTGGCTGAATGTTCCACGCTACATTTGCCGCTGCGTCACTTCGTTCTAGAACCTTGTAATCTTCATATATCTATAGCAAAAGTATCTTATAGTTACCGTCGTAGTTGACCATGCCGTCGCCGTCGAGGTCGGCTTCGCGGATCATGTTGTCCACCTAATGACTTCCAGATTACCCGTTGGAAGTGGCCCTCATCCAGCGCCTTCTTGTAACCTTTATAAAGTCACCTGGCGTGAACTTATTTGGACGTCTCACGCTACGTATGCTGGCCCGTCGCCTCCATTCCAGAACCTTCAAATCTACATAATATAGTTACCGTCGTAGTTGACCATGCCGTCACCGTCGAGGTCGGCCTCGCGGATCATGTCGTCCACCTCTTCCTCGCTCAGCCGCTCGCCCAGGTTGGTCATCACGTGCCGCAGCTCCGCCGAGGAGATCAGACCGTCATTGTTACGAGGCTGTATCATGTTAAAACAAGTCCCCATACAATTTGTTCCCAATTGTTTTTGTTTTTGCTCATTCTAGCTTGGAACTGCTAATCTCTGCAGCCGAAAGACGTGATTTACTCAAGACTCGCCAACCCATCCTGTCATTGGTTCTAAAAGTGTTTTTTAATACTGACCCTGCTATGACCTTACCCTTCGTGTTGTTTGAGTTAACGTTGATGTTGCTTCTTTAGGATGTCCACAGCAGAATTTTCAGGTATTTCGGTTGGAAGCAGACCGTATTCAGCGCTTTCCTGCAGCTTTTATTAGGTCACCTTGTGGCTGAATGTTCCACGCTACATTTGCCGCTGCGTCACTTCGTTCTAGAACCTTGTAATCTTCATATCTATAGCAAAAGTATCATAGTTACCGTCGTAGTTGACCATGCCATCGCCGTCGAGGTCGGCCTCGCGGATCATGTCGTCCACCTCCTCCTCGCTCAGCCGCTCGCCCAGGTTGGTCATCACGTGCCGCAGCTCCACCGACGAGATCAGACCGTCATTGTTCTTGTCGAATACCCTGAAATTGATGACATTGGACTTAATGGCATTGTCTTAGAGTCCAGAAAACTCTACTAGTCTTTGGAAGTCTAGAAAACTCTACTAGTCTTTGGACTGCTCAAGAAAAATATTTTTAAATTGATATGCGGATCGGCTCGATTGACTGAAAGTGAAGGTTTTAGGTGCTAAGCGCAGTTCCACTTAAAAAGGTTGAATACTCTGCCATTTTCAAAAGAAACACAAAAATATTCTTTTCTGACTTCACATATGAGGAGACTTATCGCATCTGCAAATAAATGGTTACACCGGTTAAATTTATAGTTACGGTTACAGTTAAGATGGTGCAACTTATGTATTTGCCTGATTCCTCAACCTATTTCAGGCTTACCTGAATGCCTCTCTAAGCTCGTCTTCTCCATCAGACCCGCGCATCTTCTTGGACATCATTTGGAGGAACTCGTTGAACTCGATCGTGCCGTTGCCGTCCTGGTCCACCTCCTTCACCATATCTCGAAGTTCAGTCTCTGGAATTTCAAATATACCATTCGGTTACACATACAGGTTGTAAAAAAAATAGTTTTCGAGTTCGCGGAACATAAAATAATGGGGGTGTTTCGGATAGCCCTAGTGATACCTACACCTTGGTTTCGGCTTGACACTATTTTTATAGTGTATATTTATTTGGACAGTATTTTATGCAGTAATTTCCTACCAGGCTTCCTCGTTTACATTGTCCTTATTAAAACCCGTCGAGTTTTTGGCATTATAAGTATCCCCCGGCCTTTATCAAAATCGATTGAAATTCAAAATATCAAGGTAATGGGCCTATTTAAAAAGGCTTAACTTAAAATTTCGTTCAATTAAAAGTTCCTAATTACTTATTGGACCATCAGTGTTTTATGTCACATCGATGAGCTATAACAAACATTGTTTACATGTTTCATACGTGACTAACTTTTGTTTGTCGCACTACATTGTTAATTGAAATGGTTTAGTTCGTTAACCTTCTTAAGCATGATTTATCCTGCGGTCACTTATTAGGTAAAATAATTTTACAATTTCTCTTCTTTTTAAAACTACTTTTAAAAAAAATCATGACTCGAAATCTATCAAAGATTGCACATGGAGGTAATTCGGGTAGCCCAGTGATGCTCTACCTCTGGACTTCGTCTTGATACTAGTTTTTGAGACACCCTGTATAAAAAAGTTGTGTAGGTAGGTAGGTAGGTACTGATCAAAATCAGTTACGTTATCATGTTACACAGACTATTTTTAGCATCATCATCATCATCATTTCAGCCCTAGGACGTACAATGCTGATAGGCCTCCCCCAATGATTTTCATGTTAACCGGTTGATAGTGGCCTGCGTCCATAGTCATAAACTATTTTTGTTCGTCCGTTCGTTCGTTTCAGCCGAAAGACGCCCACTGCTGGACAAAGGCCTCCCCCAAGGATTTCCACAAAGACCGGTCCTGCGCCGCTCGCATCCAGGCGCCTCCCGCGACCTTCACCAAATCGTCGGTCCACCTAGTGGGAGGCCTGCCTACGCTACGTCTTCCGGCTCGTGGTCGCCACTCAAGAACTTTCCTGCCCCAGCGGCCATCAGCTCTACGAGCTATGTACCCTGCCGACTGCCACTTGATTTTAGCGATTCTGCGGGCTATGTCAGTTTGTCAGTCTCTCTGGTTCTCCTACGGATCTCCTCATTTCTGATTCGATCACGCAGGGAAACTCCGATCATAGCAATAGCAACTATTTTTGTACACAGTGTTAATTCTATCATTACCCTCTATGCAAACCCAGTCCACTACTAGACTAAATAATTTCGTAGGCGACTTAAATTCGTATGTAACAGACGATAAATTACTCCCAACGGAGTTGAGTCGGGCGTTTCATTTCACGGTTTTAGTAATAAAAATAAAAGACTACGGAGAAATTTTTATTTCACCTCTACAACATTTTTAGGGGGGAGACATTGTTTTCAACTAGCGACCCGAGTTTTTTGTAAAATAAATACTTGTTCTTCTCTTCTATAAAGTTAATGCAAAAATCGCAATGAAATTACAATTATTAGTTTTTCATGATTGGCAAAATAAACAAGTGATTATTGTCAACTACTAGATGTTTTACATATCGTTAGATATTTACTAGCTTTATTTAAATTATTTCTAGAATGTTAGTTAACATCATGAAGTTTTTAGTTACAGTTGCAAAATATCGAACAGTAGACGTAGAGAGAGACTAATAAATCAATGTTCAATACCCACATTTTACCGTTTATAAACTCCTGTTCATTTATATTAGCATTCTTTACAAAACTAGTTTGAACAGGTGTAATGAGGGCTATCGTTTTAGCGCTCACCAGTTAGCGCCACTGTAGAGTAAGGTCCTGTCACTTGCTAGTAGCGAAGACAGTGCACACCAACTGGTGAGCGCTAAAGTGGTAGGAGGACTATCGCATTTGCACTCATCAAGATGGCGCCACTGTAGAGTAAGGTCCTGTCAATCGCCAGGGGTGCCAACTGTTAAATATAAAAACGATAGCCCTCATTACCTAAGCAATCAAATTACTCCCTGTGAACCGTAACTTATAGCTCTAGCTTCTATTTGTATTATCAAATCAGGACTAAAAAATAGATAATAATATGAACATATTTATACTTCATTCATATTTTGTATTGCATTTCCATGAAAATTACGGGTAAATTCATTCCATCATACAAATGGACAAAGGGTTTCGTCCCCTAATAAAATCCCAAATCATTCGCAAAATATGTGTTGAATTATTTATTAGGAATCGCTTACAGGAGTGTTTGTTTGAATATCCAATGAATAAGTATGTGTAACCATACACATATGAATAAAATTACTCCATACACTGCACTGGTGGGTATCATTTATAGGAAAAATAAGAGTAAATGTTGCATGTAAAAACGCATTTTTTTTCCATAGAACACATTTTATTTTAGACGTCATTTGACAGAAACGAACGAACATTATAAATGTAGAGTCATAAAAAGTCGTAAATTATTCGAAAACACTCTATTATACCTCTTAGTGTCATTTTAACTCTACCAATGTTTCAAGACAAAAAGGCGAATGAGGTGTCTGTCTGTGCTAAATAATTCAATATGCACTTATTATAGTGTGTGCATGCCATTCACCTAAGCAAACCTACTTATCGTATGAAAATAAAAACAACAGGGTTTCGCTCGCATGGATTTAGATAAATATCTTTTATACTATTCTGAGGCAGTCCTATAATTTTCACATGAAGACAAACAAATATCCATTCATTTATCATCACATTCACATTGTAAATGAATTTTATTCCGGTGATAAAAATCACGATTTCATCATACACGTAAAAACCCACTCGCCCCGCCCTTTGTTGATATTAGTAAGCTAATTTCGTCACTCGCAGCAACGGCGCCGTGGCTTAGTTGGTTAAAGCGCCTGTCTAGTAAACAGGAGATCACGAGTTCGAATCTCGTCGGGGCCTAGCAAAGTTGAGTTGCAATTTTTTGCTTTTTATTTTTAATTTTTACCTTAGTTTTTCAACAGTATCTATTACTTTTTATCTTTAAAATTATGTTTTATGTGCCAATAGCAGTTTCTGTGAACTTGTATTTCTTTTATTTTTTTCCCAAGATTGATACGATTCTTACGCATGTAAATTGAGTTTTTGAATCAACTAAGACCTTCCTGTTGTCATGGCATGTTCTAGCTAAGGCAGCATAGAGCTCAAGCAAAAATTCAATAACTTTGTATCTTAGCATTTTATGCTATCAAACATTATTAAAAGAGTTATAAATTATAAACAACATGGCATATTTTTCCTTATCTAATAATACACTTTCTATAGTTCTGTAATATGCTTATTTTGAAAAGGGTAGTATTTAAACGAGTGACTGTAAATTTATGTTGTAAGTGTCAAAAATAATTAATGTGGGCTAAAGAATTACTAAGTGAGCGACTGAGTGCGAGTGACGAAAAATCAAAAGAACAGCAACTTACAAAAAAAAAAATGAGTTCCTTAAAATACAAAATGAGAAGCTTCATAATATTTGAGCGACCTAATATTTGATTGAGTGTCAACGTTAGGTCCTGCATTTTTTTCAATGTTTGGCAAATGCTTTTTTAATACTGAGCGGTATTTTTAACTATAATGAAGTGTTTCGAATGCAAAATCTACTTTGAAAAATACTATTATGAGCAGCGTATTATGAGCCCACATTTAAATAAAAAATGATCTTATGAAATAAATATTTGACGGAACACTATTCTAGTAGCGAAAAAAATAAATCATTAAAATTTAAGGGTAGGTAATCAAATGAAACAATGTATTACGAAAAATGAAATAAATTTGTATTTTCTTAAATCGAATCAACAAAAAAAAAAACAAAATAAAATAAGTCGCTTCTGTCCACCCAAAAAAAAGTAATCTTATTAATAAGGTTCATTGATTGGTACCTATGAGGATTGAGGAGCTCTACCTACTCATCGTCACTGTATGATAAGTGCTGGCTTGGACTTAGCGGGCCGGCCTCGTTTTCTTTTTTGTCCAATAGGTATCAGCTTTGCTTCCAGTGGCGGTGTTGTTAGTTTGAGCCGAATTGCTAGACCCAAAACGTGTTTGCATACATATTTTGTTAAAAATTCGGGACAGTCGCCCCGCCCCCATTCGAATTCGCGCGCTGTAACAATCTGCAGTTTTCATTAATAAAGCGTATCAAAATAAAAAACATGAGACCTCAAATATAATATCAGTAACCAATAATCATTAATAAAGCAGCTCACAAAACTTTGCTTAGAATTAACTTTTTTGTAGTTCGTTCAGTAAAACCTCAATTAGAAAAATCTAATGTATCTTCATATTAAAGTTGCCCTCTCTGTATTTCTAGTCGCTCACTTAGTAATTTCGTCGCCCGGATAGTATTTTTATGTCTGAAATGTAATAATCAAAACCCACATTTTGTAAGCTCGTTCTGGATTTTATTATTGATCAATATTCGTCGTTAGTTTGGTTAATTTTTCGCTTACTTAAATTCATACCGCTCAAGGTATTAAAACAGTCGGCCATCATCAGTCGCAAAGTTTTTTTTTAGTCGCACGTTTTATAATTCCCCTTTTGAAAATGAATAAGTAAAAGATTAAAGTGACCATTAAAAATCGCCCAAATTAAAAAAAAACAGCCCAACAACACCGTTTTACCTGTAGATTGACTTTATTCAATAGAAATAACAGTGTAAGACCTTTTTAGTTTTTACGAATAAGAGGTTACAAACAAGAGTGTTATTGTCTGTGGTATTTTTAGCTTATTGTTTCTGCTAATGTTAATGACGGCTCAGGAATTTGGCAACATTCTGTTGTGGACTCGGCCAATTTGTACCGAATCGCCTCGGACATTCATTTTAACTGAATCACCAAAATATGGCTTGACTTGGCTTGAATTTTAATTTCATGTTATTCCAATTTTACATAGGTATAGATTTTCAGTAGTAATTTTTTATACTGTTTTATTTAATTTATCATTTAAACTGATAAGTACACACACCGGCAGATTTAGCGGAACGCAAAAAAAAGTATGAAAATAAGGAAAATTACTACTGATCTATGAAATATTTATTATACAAAATAAAGAGATAATTAAAATAAAATAAAATAACATATATTTTTTAAATATTTAGTCGTTTTTATTTAATAAAAAATCATCGAAACGAAATTTCAATTTTTCAGTTTTGAACAAAAATTAGAAATTGTGGCCAGATTAAAAATTAGGGTAGCTTATCACTATCCAAATGAATGAATTAATGATGGGTATTTCCCCCTCTTGCTCTGATNTGTAAAAAACGGTCATCCCGTCGCGAAGTACGCCTTTTTCTGACTTGAACCCTCCTCCTAACGACAGAAATGATCAATCTGTACCGTTGGTTACTGCCATGGGTGGTCGATACTGATCAACGACGTCTTACGGCAGCCGATTTGTATGCATGGCCGTTACTTCTCATTTCATCTGCCTTAATGATTTCTGACGGTGCTAAGCTGGGCATAATAAACCCTTATAAGTAACTGAATGCTTACACAACAAAATTCTCAGAAAAAAACATCTTTCACGTAAAAGAAATCCAAATTAGCAAAAGCTTCATTCAATTCAAAACACTCAACGAAACTGTTGATGGGGTAATTTAAACAAAATAATTAAAAAAATATACTGTTGGCAATTATTTTTTTCATATTTAGAATTAAATTAAAAAATAATGTCATAATTAGGCATTTTTTTCCTAAAATAATGATGATATTGATGCTTTTTTTTCCGTTCCTCTAAATCTGCCGGTGTGTGTATTATTGATTTTGCTATGTAGAGTCAAAGGTGTAAGCGTTTTTAAAAGCAATGATCTTGGTTATTTTATGTCTTTAGTCTTCAGTTCAAGTAAAATTATTAAAATTAATGAAAATAGGCAAGAGAAACGTTTTATTTATGACACTGAAAAGATACGCTCAATTAACTAAAAAATATTTCTCATAAAGACTCAAAGATATGATTCCATTCATAATAATCATTTTGGATACAAAAGAAAAAGGTCTTACATTCATAATGATGGTAGAGTTCATAGATTATCATCTTTACGCTTCCCCTTCCATAATAATAATAGTAAAATAACTGCAAGTGCAATAAACTAGCCAGTTAGCGGCAGGCGTTGCCAAGATTTGGGTATAAATAATAGTTAAATGAAATATGGTAATCTGTTTTAATAAGTTATCTACTTTATTATCCTAATTTATAAAAACCTTGGACTACGTCCGAATTCCCAACCCGTCTGGCCAGCAGCGTGGTGATTGTACGCCAAATCCTCCATTCGCCTCCGGTAAATTTAATTTAACGGCAATTATTATTATTGATATACTCGTAGGTTTAATAATAATTGTATCTACTCTATCGCATTGAGAAAACGTGTAAAGTTAGAGATATGATTGTTAATGAAATAAATAATGAGCAGTTTTTCTGCTGTAGATATACTCAATAATATTTTGCCGAGGATGATGATTATCCGAATTTTCAGTAATAATCACATTGTGTGGTAATACTTTAGTTAACTATTAAAATAACACTTGGCAGCAGCAGACCTATGTAGACACGTCACACGCCTATTGTTTTAAAATTGTGTCTCGTTTTGATGTGTTCATTGTTCACCTCTTAGCTAGTAGAAATAAAGTCACGAAGTTAGAAATTTATTGTGTACCATGCATTTTCCTCTATAAGTCTTTATTGACTGGACTTGTTAAAACATTTTCATAAATGCTCTATCCAAAAAGTACGCTATTATTATTAACTAGCGGCCGCCCGCGACTTCGTACGCGTGGATCCCGTTTTACCCCCTTCCTCTATCTTACGCGGTTTAGATTTTTTCATACAAATGTTTTTTCCCGCTAACTCCCGTTCTCGTGGGAATTTTGCAATATCCTGTTGTAGCTAACTAAGCTTTAAGTTTACTAAGGTACCTGCGTGCCAAATTTCAAGCGTCTAACTTAAGCGGTTTAGATTTTTCATACAAAAGGATTTTCCCGCTAATTCCCGTTCCCGTGGGATTTTCGGGAATTCCTTTCTTAGTGCACCTCTAAGATACCTAAGCTACGTCCCTTCCAAATTTCAAGTGCCTACGTTTAGCCGGTTAGGCTGTGCGTTGATATGTCAGTCGGTCAAATATAAGTATAGATTTAAAATTACACTCTCCCATTCCCTAGTAATCAAATCATTAAAAGCTAACATCATTTTGGCTACAAACAATTTCGTCTAAAGATCCCAGACACATGAATCATGAACTTGCCCGTCTGTCGAAACCCGATATTGAGACGTTGAAACTAATACATCTTGCGGTCTCACTGTTTGTCTGTCTTAGTTTATTTATGTTCAATGTCTTCATCTTGACACGTAACTAGATAAGTATAGTCAGTCAATACTCGTAGATAATAGCAAGCTTGAAAACAAGCAAGGTCGACTAACATTGATCATGGTTTGGCATATTACAGCTTTTGTCATGAACATCATCATTTCAGTCATAGGACGTCTATTGCTGAACATAGGCCTCCCCCAATGATTTAGATCAGGGGTGGCCAACTTGATTTGACATACAATCTACTGTTTACTAACGAAACCCTGGCGATCTTAAATGAAACAGCATAGTTTAGTACACAATTATGTAGTATTTTTTGCCTTGTTACGATCGACTGGACTAATATTCGCAATCGACCGGTCGATCGTGATGACCCCTGATTTAGATGAACATTAGTTGATTGGAAGAGACCTGATAATGTCTTTCTGGCAAACTTATTTTATAAGTATTTGAAAAAAAAAAAAAAAAACATTTACTAGAACATAAAATATTATACACTTGCTTGTGAACGTCTTTCTTATTAATGTTCATGAGCCTATTTGGTGCCAGACAAGACAATCTTGAGATCATAGAGACACTCACTCGAGAAGAGCGAATTATAAAAAAACTTGTAAGGCTTTTGTATAAAAACTGCGACTATTGTATGCGTAGTTTTATAAAATGAGAAGTACCTGTAGTAATAATAATAATCAACAGTGCTATTATGCACGTCTCGTTGTGACAATGGAACTAACTATAAAAGTACGCTCATAAGAGAAATGTTTGGCATGAATGTGAACTCGTATTAAAAAGAGGTAAAGTTTGTGTGTTTGTATATTTGTTGATAAATTGTAAGGAGTAATCTGGGGATCTACTGAACCGATTTTAAAAATTCTTTAACCAATAGAAAGCAACATTATTGCTGAGTGTCATAGGTTATATAAAAAACCGGCGAAGCCGCGGGCGGAAAGCTAGTACTTAAATAAATAAAATAGTTACCTGAAGGTCTCTGTCCCAGGGAGCGCATCACCACCCCCAGCTCGGCCATGGTGATCGTCCCATCCTCGTCTTTGTCAAACAGCATGAAGGCCTCCTTGAATTCTGCAGGATAAGTTAATCTTTTTAAGCAGTATTTGAAAACTATTCCGCTGCATCGAACAGAAAAAGAATCACGTAAATAGGACCTAGGACTTGATAAATAGATAACAATATGATAGACTAGCTTTTGCCCGCGGCTTCACCCGCGTGAAATTTCGTTTGTCACAGATCGTCATAAATTATAGCCTATATGTTATTCTGGGTTATAACCAACGATACTGTAAAGTTTCATCAAAATCCGTTTAGTAGTTTTTGCGTGAAAGAGTAACAAACATCCAGACATCCAGACATCCAAATTTTCGCATTTATAATATTATAAGTAGGATTAGAATAGAAAATCAGAATAGAACCTTAATAATTGCTAACGAGATAACGTTTTCAATTTGAATTTGAAAAATTACAAACGGATCGATTGGGACGTGCAAAATAACCCATAACATAGACGTATATTTTAACGACCATGAACCCGTAACATCTAACTACATATTTTCACACTTTATCAACTCAAAAGAAATGTTCAAAAGATAATTTATGATAATTATCCTATTGACAAAAATTCATAAAAACTTTCATGGCAGTTAGTTTGATGCTTCAATTTTCATAAGATAAAGATAGAAACAGAAAATTATGCTTACCTGCAACTTGCTCCTCTGTAAGTCCATATTCTGACTGCAAACGAAAGAAACAAAACATTAGCTTTATTCAATAATTTATAAGAAACTTTGAAATTAAGATACCTACCGAAACTTGCCGTATAGCCAAATCACTAGTTAACCTCCGCAGTCTCCGGTACTCTTTGTTGTAAATATCATCTGTGGCCATGGTTTTAGCCATTTCAAAAGTTTAAAGTAACAAAATACCTCTAAAAACTTGGGTTTCTCCGAAGAATTCTCAAGTTACGACACTGGCAGTTAAAAACTTTACACTACACTACCACAAAACTTTATCATTGAACCTCTTTGCTCTTGTTTACAGCAAACAATGTAAAAAAAAGAAACGTCAATTTTCCCGCGCACTCAATCACGTACTAATAAAAAAGTTTTTATCGAGGAGTTTGTATAACACTGGTAATTAAAAGTTTGGACCAAGAAGGTCGTTCGCCACGTACGGTCAAAAGCGGTTTGATTTTTTTTTCACAGCCGGTAATCAAAACAAGCCAGCATTGACAGGCGAGCGCGACATTGTCAGCTGGGATGGTAGAACTCTATATTTAAATTATATTTTTGCACGATATATGCTAGCCGGGCGCTCTACATTGTCCGCGAAGTTCACGTAGCATTTAGCAGCTATATTTTAAGGAATAGTGTCACATAACAATAATTAATTATAAATTAGATCAGAGATGATTGCTTAAACCCGAAGCCCTCATTGCTTTAGTTGTTTCAGATTGTTTATTTTGTTATTTCAAAGGACAATTAATTTATTAACAAAATACTTTTAAACATAATTTTAGTTATAGGTTTATTGAATTTTTGTTGAATTTATTATACTTTTGTAAAATAGATGCTATCAAGAATATAATATCTCTTTTCTGCTTGGCCCAAAGGTTGACTAGTAGAGATATTGCCATATGGCATTAAGTTTGCCTTTTTTGAATAAATAAATATTTAATTCATAATTAAATGTGACCATTGTAGAACGAATTAATATTTTCTGTTATCTTGGCACGCGCGTGTGCGGAACGCGTTAATTTTGGCGGGAAAATTGTCTCAAATAGCCGGCGATTCTACAAATAAATCGTAAACACTGCATTTTGGTCGCCGTCCCAAATAAATAATATTGGAATATTATTATGGCGTGGCATTTGAATTTAACTAAAATTGAATCTGAAATGTTAAATTTACCACAATATTTTTATTGGCAGTCGCACTAAATTTATTGCTTTTGAAAATTGTTGAGTAGAAGAGTTTGTTCCCGGAATCTCAAGAATCAGATGAGATATACTTTAAGCGCCATCTATCGACATGCTTTATATTCAAATGTTTGTTATCAAAGCATTTGAAGATACGAGTAGTTTCTTGCAGTATGATGTAGAGTGCATTAAAGCCAAATTGTAAAATCTGTGTAAAATAATAATGTTTCCTGTCTGTCTGTGGATTACTAATCGACTACCTAGCCTGAGATAAGAAATTACCTTTTTGGCTTTCGTTTTTTACAGATTTCAACTCAACATGATCCGTATTCCGAAATTATATCTTAAAATGATGTTTTTTTATACGACGAACCATCGATCTTTAGGAAAAGAGTTTTCTAAATGCAAGGTCATAATATTATTAGCTTAATAATCTTTAGTATGGGTTCGACATCAAAGAAAAAAATCCTACAAGCAACTTAGAGTTTTCATTTCAATAATTGCAATTTTAATATCGATCGCATAATATCATGGTAATTTTGATGGTCATTTTCGCCCCCACATCATAAAAATACTTTTTTTAACGAGTTGTTGACTAAAACCAATCAAAGGCATAGTAATTAGACAGCCACGTTATTTATTTGTGGCGGCAACATTTTTGAAGGCAATAAAAAGCAAAACACAAGACAGTCGGCCGAAAGATGTAGCGGTGTAAAAATGCGAGCGGTTTTTAGAATCGAATGAGAGAGCTTAGGTTTGAACGTGTCACTATAGCAGATAGACGATTAGATAGAATACGCACTTTTATTTACATTGGATACAGTCTCTTAGATACAGCCCGTTGTCTCTATCAAAGCCTAATTAAACTAAACCGGTGTTAGATTTTCTTTTCTTTTGCTATTTTCTTTTATTTTATTAGTTTTGAACTAACTACTTTATTGAATTGCATGAGAAAAACTAATCACAGGTGGCAATTTTCTAAAAATGGAAATCTTGAAAACTAAGGTCAAAACTTAATATTATAGAGATCATGAGGAGGCCGATAGTTGCAGGGTTATCCATTGTTTTTGGAACACCCTGGATACTTATTATAAAATAAAAAAAAAATATCTAAATGTTCTTTCGGCTGTAAATATGATGCTATACAGATTAATGTAATAAACAATAGATTCAAACTAACATTCAGTTAAAATTCAACCTATTCACTACTTATGAAATCTTTTCGTTTGCATCGAGTTTCAAGCGTTGTTTCATAATACGTCTTAGTCACAACTCAAATTATTTCTTCCTCAACACATCGTAAAGCTATTTCAGTTGTTCAATGGGCACTTTTTACTGCTACTTTTGTTGACGTTTGAATCGTATAATTTATTCCGAGTTCTCGTAAAAGTTCGTGACTGATGTTAAATTCTATAATGACTGGTTCCGGGAAAATGAAAATAGTTGCAGTTATTTCAAACGTTTATTAATGAATGAAATTCAAATGAAATGTAGCCGAATACCTTTTAACTGACTAGTACTTTGTTGATAATAAATTATTGTTTTAGTCAACCTACAGAATACAGTTTTTTTTATTTTGTATTGTGAACTAAATACATTTTAGGATTTAACTAAGTATCCATAAACCACAATATTTTTCACAGGAACCGAGTAAAATTAGTAAAGAGCATAACACTATTATTTTGTGGAATCGACGATTGATACTGTTCGAAATTTAAAAAATTAAAAACATTTATTTTTTAAATTCTCAATCATTTATAATTTATTCAATGCTGCCAGCCTTTCCCGATGGTGTAATTAATATTTTATGTTTATTTTGAGCTTTACTTCAATTGTTTTTTGAGCAAACCTGTTCAATCATTTTGATTTTTCAACCTTACGTTGTTTTGTTACCTTGTTTTCCAAAAGAAGACGCTATTGTTGTATGGTAATAAACAGAAAAAAGTACCTTTAACATTAATATATTAAAAACCCTTATCGTTTGATATTACGGCACCCATTAGCCTACGACATGAATAAAAAGAAAACGTTTTAAAATATTAACCTACTTAATTACTCCGGTCATTAGTGAAATATTACTAAGTGGTCGGCCAAAAACTCATTGCCCATTTAGTCTCTACATTTTTAAGAGTAAAAGAGTTTCTTTGCACAAAACGGCTGCTTGAAACTTTGGTTCACTTTGTAGCCTTATTCACGTAACAAAACTTCAACGACAACAAATCACAGAGTTGCAATCCTATCAAGTAATCTTTCTATTGTAATAACCCTTATGAATACGGATTTAGAACTGTTTTTCAATAGGACGACTTCTAAACGTCAACGAGATTTTGACTTTAAGAAAATACGTGAATTAGGCCACTGGACTAATAAGCCAGAGGTTGTGGGTTCTATTCTCGCACAATACGGTGTTTTATAGTGTATTTAATGAAAACTAGATGGGCATATTACTTTTTCTTTTCAAAATATGGTGTAGCCTGGATGTTGAAAAGAAAAGGCAGTGCCTGAAAACTTTTGACATAATGAACTGAACCTCTTATAGATTAGAATGAAAGAACAGGCCGTTGAGACAAACTCTTACTTCGCTAAGTCATTTTTAACATACCTACGTATTTTTAATTAACGAATCTAAGATTACGATCATCATTTAGTACTAGCTTTCCGCCCGCGGCTTCGCCCGTGTGGAATTTTGTCTGTCACAGAAAAACTTTATCGCGCGAGTCCCTGTTTCAGAAACCGGGATAAAAAACTATCCTATGTCCTTTCCGGGACTCAAACTATCTCTATACCAAATTTTATCAAAATCGGTTCAGTGGTTTAAGCGTGAAAGCGAGATAGACAGACAGAGTTACTTTCGCAATTTATAATATTAGTATAGATTTATCACGAATGTTAATATAGGTGACAATGTTTTGTACAAGCCAGTGGCTCATTCCTGGAAATAACAATTTATTTATAAAAATGAATCATACTAAACTAGAATACAATTTTTGCATGTTCTAAAGTAATTACTCACTAAGTTCATTAACGATTTAATAATAAATGTATTTCAGCTTTCATTAGTCAAAGCATGCTATACTCTCACGAACTTCGTGATGGAATGCAATTCATTTTTCACGCGTAATTTTGGTAAGCAACACCTAAACTCTATCTAGCCGTCTCTTTCTGTTTACTACGACACTAACAGGTGTAAGAGAGAACCAGAAATCGTTTAGAGTATTTCATCTACTTTCAGGTAATATTCACAGAATCATTCAAGGTCATCGAACTGAAAATGGAAAATTACAGTGAAAACAGAATTTTCAGGTATGTCACACGAAAAAGGCTTAAAGGCACTTACGAGTAAGTCCTGTCCACCAGCGAAGTGGTGGCTAGAAAAAGTACATAAAGAACAATAATAATATGCCTACGCAAAGGTGCCCAGTGACACTTTTCTTTTGCTAAGATTTATAATTCTTGGCGTTATATCACAAACGATACTTTAAAATAAATAAACTGTTGGTATCTAAAGCTAAAATTCAGTAAATCTCTCTTATTCCGAAGTAAACGAGAAAGGACAGCCATTTGTAAACCCAAAAGGCTTTCAAATAAATTTATCAGCCATAGACAATTTCAGAGAGCATTATCATCTATCACAGATAAAATATCGCGAAAACGTAAATGCAAGACTAAATTTAGTTTGATAGTTCCAAAGTTGTTTCAAACTTTGTGATAAGGAAAGAAATAAAAAGACTGAGTTTTAGAGATAGCGAACAGTGCAGAATAGAATCTCTCTGCATATTGCCATACGTTTAAACTTCTCTAACGTTGACCATAAACTACTTTTACGTAGTTACTTAACGTTTATTTCTGCAAATAATACGACGGCATATTAATCATTCACTGTAGCGTGACTGTAGCGTCTTCTGTAATTGTAATAGACGCTAGTTCAGCAAAAATGTGTAAATATTTTGACTAGCTTTGCTCGCAACATCATAGGCAAAAAACGCGTGTAATTCGTTTAAATATTTTTTCCCGTTTTTTTCAAGAATTTTTTATTGATGATGCAGCATGATAGTTAAAATAATAACGTCTATAATAATAGATAGTGCCGTTTAAATTATTACATACTAGCTGACCCGGCGAACTTCGTACCGCCTTAGCGTAGAGATTTTCTTAATATTTTTTTCCGTAAGAACCATCCTTGGACTTCCACAAACATTTAAAAAAAAGAATTATCGAAATCGGTTCAGCCGTTCACACGTGATGCCGTGACAACGCGAAACGGGTTTCATTTTTAGGGTTCCGTAGCCAAAATGGCAAAAACGGAACCCTTATAGTTTCGTCATGTCCG